CTGTCAAGAAATCCTACCCCTGGTGAGCAACGACCCTTCTTTGAAGGTGAAAACAATCATCTTCCACATCACCACGGTTTTTAACTACACTCCGTCTTACCGTAAGGCGTGGTTAGCAAAGACTAAGGCGATTGAAAGGGTGTATGGAAACTGGGAGGAGTCATACCGAGAACTTCCCCGCTACCTCAATGCACTAAAGACATATTCTCCAGGTAGTGTTTATGTTCTGGAAACATTGCCCGCGTACGCCCAAGATGGTAGTGTACTACATGGAAACGGAATATTCAGTCGCGTCTTTTGGGCATTTCAACCATGCATCACAGGGTTTGCATCATGTAAACCAATTCTACAAATAGACGGGACTTGGTTGTATGGGAAGTACAAAGGCACGCTTTTGATGGCAGTTGCACAAGATGGCAACAATAACATTTTCCCCGTTGCGTTTGCCCTTGTCGAGGGGGAGACCGGTGGTGCTTGGAGCTTTTTCCTGAAAAATCTTCGTACACACGTGGCTCCTCAACCAGATCTATGTTTGATCTCGGACAGACATGCCTCCATTGAAAGTGCCTATAATAATCCAGCAAATGGTTGGCATGACCCTCCTTCTACGCATGTCTATTGCATCAGGCATATCGTCCAGAATTTCTCGAGGGAGGTCAAGGACAAAATATTGAGGAAAGCGGTGATGAATGCGGGATACGCACTGACACAGCCCACATTCAAATATTACCGCAACGAGATCCGTTTGTCTAACCCAGAAGCCGGTACGTGGATCGACAACATACCGGTCGAAAAGTGGACTAGGTCATACGACAATGGCCAAAGATGGGGGCATATGACAACAAATCTTATTGAATCAATGAATGGGGTATTCAAGGGCATACGAAACCTCCCCATCACTGCCTTGGTGAAATCCACGTATTTTAGGATGGCTGCGTTATTTGCCAAAAGAGGTGAAATGTGGTATTCGGTCTTGCAATCAGGACAACTATGGAGTGAAAGCTGTATGAAATACATTAAGGCTGAAAGTGCTAAAGCCAACACTCACATGGTTACACGGTTTGACCGCCATAGCCACAACTTCATTGTGAAAGAGACAATTGACCACAATGAAGGCCTGGCAAGACAGGAATACAGGGTCATTTTACCTTCTCAATGATGCGATTGTGGCAGGTTTCAAGCTTTTCGTATGCCTTGCTCTCATGTCATTGCCGCTTGTGCTCATACCCATCAAGACGCGCTTCAACTGCTCTCAAACGTTTATAAATCTGAAACGTTGCTCACTGTTTACAACAACAACTTTCCTTTGGTGGCAAAACCGGACTATTGGCCTGAATACAACGGTGATATAGTTTGGCACAATGACCAAATGCGAAGGAACAAGAAGGGTCGTCCCAAAAGCAGGCGCATAACAACAGAAATGGACGATCTTGACAGGTTGGAAAGAAAGTGTGGTTTATGCCGTCAGGTCGGACACAATCGCAAAAACTGTCCGAATCGGGCGTCTGGCTCGACCACATAAATTTTGTAATACAATAAATCTTTTCAATATTTGTGTTGTAAACATTATGGGTTTTCCGTTAATAAAATTGTTCACACAATTTAAGAAATTCAATATAGGAAATTACATTAGGGTTTTTGCGTACAACAATGATTAACGATAATCAATCTAGGAAATTACAACTGTTAACACAATTTCATCTGACCCATGCATCATCATCATTACATCACTGTCTGTTTTGACTTCCTCCAACCACACATTAGGTCTTCCTGTCGCATACGAGGTTGTTGTTCGTTTTCGCCGGATCCTTCGAATTTTTTCCCCCTCGACGATGTCTCCATCTAGCCACCGCATCAACTCCCGCTTCAGACGCTCCATGGAGTGAATGTGCCAGAATTTCATTTTCATCGCAGGTTTCGTGGTGGAGAATATAACGTAACCATCTCTGCTAAAAATCATAGGCGACGTCATTACGTAAATAAGGGAGTACAAAATAAAAATACAGTGCGAGAAAGTGTGAGAAATTTCAAAGAAACGGACGAATTATTTATAAAACAGCAAAAAACCCTAGTTTTGCCCTAGGCGCCAAGTGAGATGGCGCCTCCTCTCCTTTTTAAGGAGCATGCGCCATCTCACTTGGCTAAAAGCCAATGGAGGCGCCAAGTGAGATGGCGCCTAGGGCAAAACCCTAGGTGCATGCGCCAAATGAGATGGCTCCTCCTTTGTGGAGCCATCTCAAACATGGTTATTTGCGTAATTTTTTCCGAAACCCGGTTATTTGCGAAATATTTTTTTAATACTTGGTTATTAATAAAAAAAATTCACCAGGTGTGCCAATTTATTTACCGTGATTTTTGGTAAACAATCGTTGATCCTCCAAAAAGGAAAGTCCTTTTGGTTACTCACGGGATCAATCAGATTGATCCCAGAACATATGCTAACTTTTATGCTGGTTTGATGTAAAAATAGATATCTAGGAAGAACGCACGTTCGACCAAAGATAAGATGTTTGTGGTTTTGGAAAGTAAGAAAGTTAATAGAAATGCAGGTAAAAATGCACGAAAAGTAACTTTGCAAAATAAGATCAAAGCAATGTAAAAAGACTTTATTAATGAAAAGTGGTGTTTCCAATGTACATTTCCCAGTTTATCCTTTCACACACAGCAGGTACTCGGACAATATTTGAGTAACTAGCACAATAGGTTAAACACACGGAAAAACTACACAGACTTCCTATTTTATACTAAAATTACGTAATCGTCGAGGGGTGGCATTGCTCTAAGATGGAGACAAGTATCCTCTGCATGTCCCTCGACCTCTATCTTCCAGCCACGTCGCTTTTCTTTAACTGCTGGCGAACCTTCTTTCCATCCAACAATTCAAATTCAAATATCCTTCGTCTTTGGTATTGACACAAAGATAAGTTCTTCTAGTCGAAGGTCATAGGACCTTTTTAGTCGAAATCTTGATGGTGATGTCTGGTCAAAGACCAATGTGCAACTTCAGATATTCTCTCTAAGTTTCTCCATCAGTCGAAGCATTTTCCAGCTTGGCTTTATTTGTTCTATTTTTGGCCTATAAGGCCAATATATAGTAGGTGTCAAATTCAGGAGCCAACAGACGCGCTACAACTTCTGTCTCCCATTTACAAATCGGAAACCTTGCTAATCGTATACAACAACAGCTTCCCTTTGGTAGCAAAACCTGATTATTGGTCTGCATACGACGGCGAAATAGTATGGCACAATGACCAAATGTGAAGGAATAAAAAGGGTCGTCCCAAAAGTAAGCGCATCACAACTGAAGTGGACTCCCTTGACAAGCTGGAAAGAAAGTGTGGTTTATGTCGTCAGGTCGGACACAATCGCAAAAATTATCCGAATCGGACTACTGGCTCAACCACATAAAAATTGTATTACAAAACATTTTTACTTTTTTAAGTTGTAAACATTAGGATTTTTCATTAACAGCATTTGTTACAATAAACCTTGCGCGAACAAGAAATAAAACACGATAAATCGTCTACAAAATTACAACCGTTAAAACAATTTCATCTGACCCATGCATCATCAACATTACATCGCTGTCTGTTTTGACTTCCTCCAACCAAAAATTAGGTCTTCCTGTCGCAAGTGAGGTTGTTGTTCGTCTTCGCTGGATCCTTCTAATTTGTTCCCCCTCCTCGATGTCTCCCTCTAGCCATCGCATCAACTCCCTCTTCAGACGCTCCATAGAGTGAATGTGTCAGAATTTCATTTTCATCAGAGGTTTTGTGGCGGAGAAAATAACGTAACAATCTCTGGTAAAAATCATGGGCGATGTCATGACGCAAATAACAGAGAAAAAAATAAGAGAACAGTGCGAGAAAGTGTGAGGAATGACGGAGAAATTGACGAATTATTTATAAAAAATGCATTTTGTCCTAGGAGCCAAGTGAGATGGCGCCTCCTCTCACTTTTAAAGTGCATGCGCCATCTCACTAGGCCCAAAGAGAGAGGAGGCGCCAAGGACAAAATGCACAGTGCATGCGCCAACTAGATTGGCTCCTCCCTTGTAGGGTTTTCTGAAACATGATTATTTGCGTAATTTTCTCAAAAACATGGTTATTTGCAAAAAAAAATTTAATACCTAATTATTCAAAAAAAAAATTCTAAATGTACTTGTAATAATTTTAACATAGTATTATTGTTTGATTATTATTATTTTTTTTGTTTTGCAATTTCGTCATTAAAATTTATTTTGATCACTATAGATATAATAAAAGAAATCAATTGCGCCCTTAAAAATGAAAAATTGATGAAAATCCAAACAAAGTAAACTGATCAACACAGACATTTTATGTAAAATCTATTTTGTAACTAAATGCTCAAAATCAATTTTAATCAAAAAATTCAAACAACATATATTAATAAAAATTATATTTACTTATATGCATTAAAATATTCATTTATATTCAATTTATTTTCTTATCAAAATCAAAAACTTAAATAATTGAAAAATATATATATATATATATATATATATATATATATATATATATATATATATATATATATATATATATATATATATATATATATATATATATATATATATATATATATATATATATATATATATATATATATATATATATATATATATATATATATATATATATATATATATATATATATATATATAGGTAAAATTGTAACTCACGTAGTGAACCTCCAACTCAGACAAACCCAAGTTTAGAATTCAGAAAATGCATGGATGAAAGAAGAGAGGTGACAAATGTTATAACCAAATTAACGACCATACATGCAAACGAAAGAATGGGTCATAATTTGGCCACAAAAGATGCTCTATGCCATGCTAATTTCTATCATAACCCGATAATTGCTCCTAAAAAAATTCCAACCACAATGTAGTAATATATAATGCACCTTTTGGTGTTCTTTTCCTTCATCACACTACCTCCCCTTCATTTTATTTGTTTAATAACCTAAATTTAATAATGGGAGGTTGTGTGAGCAGTCCTAAGGATCTTGCCTTGAACGAAGGGGAAGCCCCAATGGAGGTTCCCACCGCACCGGCGAACGTTGATCAGGGCGAGACCCAAGTTGCTCAGGAGAAAGCTGAAGAAGTAGTTGAGCAGAAACAAGAGGTTGCAGAAGAGGCAGTGGAAGCCAAGCTAGAAGTGGCTGAGGTTGCCACTGAGACGCCTGAAGCAGAAAAGGAAGATGTTAAAGTTGAGGAACCAGAGGCAGAGAAGAAAAGTGAAGAACCTCTTGTGACCCTGTAAAAACTATGAGTCTATCATTCTAATTATTATCCTGAGCAAAATTTAATTAACTATGTGTTCTAGGAAGTTGTAACATCATTGAGGTGATTGTTTGATTCATACATTGTTACACTTATTGGAACATATTGTTTCAGAAATATATTTATTATTTTTAATAATTTACTGGTTAAACTCCTTATTTTATTTATAGAAATCATGTGTTATGTTGGTTAAATATATAATGAGTCGGAAGTATAAACTATAAAGTGTTACAATAAATCTCAATCTTAGTAGAAATGAATTAAATGATTTTTTTTATAATATAGGCAACTTTTTAGAGAAAAAATATTTTTTATTTCTTTGGTTTCTATTTAATTTTATACGAAAGTTTAATTCATTTCTATTATTATGGATTAAAATTTGGTATAAGATTTTTAAACAACGCTTGATGTCAAAGAATCCTGAGTCATATATAATAAATCATATATATATATAAGTTTTATATTCTTCTCTTCTATAAAAATATATTTCAAAAGTTTTTATCAAAACAACTCTTAACATATACTTAAACAAATACAATTAAAATCAGTAAAATAATTTCTTACTTTTTGTTCAATAAAAATATATTTCAAAAGCTTTTATCAAAATAATTCTTAACATATACTTAAACAAATACAATTAAAATCAGTAAAATAATCTCTTACTTTTTGTTTTACATGGAAAATGATTTCTTACTTTTTCTTATAAACAAACACTATTATTTTTGTCAAAACACATTTCTTGCTTATAAATGTGAGTTATTTAAAAAATCTTAAAGAAATGGGCTCATGGTCTATAAATTCTTCTAGAGGGGACTTTTAGCATCTATAGTTTTCCTTTTTGCCCATACCTGAACATAATAATATAAAGATTGAATAAATAAGCAAGAAAAATTTTCCTAAAGATTCTCAATTTAATAATTTGCAATATAAATAAAATAATTTTATCACGAATTTTGTAAATGTTATGAATAATAGTAATTATGTTCATTTACTTTAATTTTTATATTCCTTAAATTCTTAATATTTATGTATTTTTAATGTCCTATAAATAAGATTTACATTGTAATGTAAATGGGACTTAAAGAATATAATATAATATAGTTTTCTTTCTTATGTTTCTCTTTCATCTCTCATTTATCTCTATATTGTTTTGGTAAATTTTATAATATGTTAAGCGATTTTATGATTAATATGCATAATTTTGTTTCTTCTCTTTCGAATAAATTTTTAATATTTTTTCCATATATTATAGATTAAATTTTAGCGTGTTATTCTATTATATTTTTGTATAAAGTTCTATTGCAAATTATGTTTAGTTAACACAATTATATTTTCTATCATTGATGAATTCTTGAAATATCCCTGAAGGATTGCTCAAAGAATGATTCGTCAATTTTTAAGGTTAAGATATTTTAGGAGGATTGCTTAAAGAATTATTTTTCTTTATCGATGTGAAGATTTGTGACATGATTTTGAAGGTTTTTTATATCGAGCTTCCTAGAAGGATTGTGCAAAGAATTGTATCTTTTTGATCACTACAAAGATCATTTGTGATATATAATTCTTGAAGAGTTAAAATTTTAAAATAAGAATTTCTCACACCTTAAAAGGTTGCATTTATAATATTATTGAATCCTAGAAGAATTTCATCTATAATATTAATAAATCGCAGAAGTATTGCATCTATACTAATAACGGATCCCAGAAGGATTGCATCTATTATGTTAAAAAATTAGAAAAAATATTGCATCAATATCATTATCGAATTCTAGATGGATTGGATCAATAATAGTAAAGTATCTCGGAAGGATTTCACATAGATTTTTGTGGTTCGATGTAAAAATTTACAATATACTCATAAAATGATTGTCATTCTAGAAGAATGACATGATTGACTGTAACACATCCCAGAAGGATAACTATATTTTTATATTATTGTATATTTTCTAGCATTTGACTATGTTATAAACTTCTTAAATTTGTATCATTTCTTGCATAATTTGAATTATAAATCTATACATTTTATTTTAATGATAATGTTTAACATTCATTTCTTAATTATTGTCTGGATTTTTATGTGTCATGATTTAATGATTTTTCATGTTAGTGATTATAAGAAAACTTGTGTTACATTGTGAAACCACAAACGTACGTTCCCTATGTTATTTAGAGCTTCTTTTTCTCCCAATAAACATTACATGAAATTTTTGACTCCTCTAATTGTCATAGTTAAAGTTTTAGATGTCACTAACTAAGAAATTATTTTACATTCGAATCACCATTCATCTTAATTTATCATTTCGATCTAAAACTTTATAATTTGTAATATGCTCATTAAAAGATTGTCATTCAAGAAGAATGACACAAATAATTTTAACGCCTCTCACAAGGATGATATATTTTTTAGAAAATTGTTTATAACAAATTATTTGTATAATTCTTGAAAAACTTATCAAGCATCCCTGAATGATAGAAAAAAAATTATTTATATAGTTCCTGAAAAACTTATCCATCCCAGAAGGATAATAAAAAAAATTATTTATATGACTATATAATTTTAGTGATATGGTTTTGTATGATTAAATATATTTAATTTTATAAATAATATTTTGTCAACGTCACAATTAGCGGCATACACTAGTTTTTGAAAGAGTCCTCAATGAAGAATATTGTTTGATAATTATATGATAATATATCCATATGCATGTGCATGATTAAAGTGATTAATCATGAGATAATATTATATTAGTTTTGAATTATATTGGAGGTATCGAATATCTTTGTATTACACAAAAGAATTTCGACAAAAAATGTATAATAGAAAAATTACCGGTTGTTTCCTCAGATTTATACTACACTTATATTAGTACAATTGAAGCACATGTCTTTGTAAACCATGAGTTTACAAATTACACTTAAATGTGTCGTTGGAAAAACCAGTTGGGACATCTCGGATATAATATGATGCGAATAATTAATATTGAAGAACTAGAAGTTTCTTTAATCCAGTAAATTCTTTTGTGTTTCTAAAGGAAAATAGAACCTTCTTAGATACACAACCAAAATTCCTCCTCTTCCTGATCAGGAGAAGGTTCTAAACATATGTGATCAACACACATTTGTTTAGCACCCAAAGCAATTGCTATGCAACAAGAATCTGTACACCTGCTGATATAATGTTCTAACATCCAATAGAATATTTTTTCAAGGGACACACCAAGAGATCTTTTAACACATAGCAGAGGTTGGTCGTTTTAGGGTTGGAAGAAAAATTAAATTGCTACTAACTCTATTCAGATCTCTTTTTAACAAACTCATTTAAAAGTGCCTTTATGAGTGGACTTGAGATGAATCTCAAGTATCTTTGGAAACTTTAACAAGATGATTAAACTTGTCTTCCACATATCACACCAAAATACGGTTGATATTACAAGGGCAAACCTCCCTACAGCCAGAGACATAAGGAAAAAAATAGGAGTTTTCTATTAAATGCGGCTGAACAAATAAAAACTCCTCAACAACCTTCAGGCACAACTGAAAAAATTCTTGCACACAAAAACCACAATCAAGGTGCCAACAAAATAACATAGGTTTGAAATAAATCAAACCAACAAATCAGAAGCACAAGATCCTGCTTCCAACTACAATGCCTTACACCCTCAGACAAGACCGCATCTCAGCCTGTCACAAATAGTTCATCCTCCACTTCAAGGGACCATTTAAACAAAAATATGAGCTGACCACGTTCAAACAACTTTTCAGTACAAACCTCCTTCCTTGCCCATGAACCAGAAAGTATCATCCCATAATCTCATCCAGAGACAACAGGATGCTTGCTCTGATACCAATTGAAATTCTGGTAAATCAGATCATAGATGTCCTATAAGATGTCACAACATCTGTTCTGACTAACACAAACATGGTAAGGTATAACAAACAAAAACAATACTTGTGATATGGTGGCAGAACCGACTGTTTTTACTGGTTTGTGTTTTGCGTTTTTTGTTTGCAAAATGTTGCGGTAAGCAAGAGTCGCCACCGACTTTTATTTCATCCAATCATGGAAAAGGAAAAAGAACAGAAAAAACCTTTTTTCGAGATATTATGAGTACGGGGGGTAGATTATAGAAAGGGAAGGTGTTAGCACCCTTTCTATCCGTAGTTATCTACGGGCTCTTAGGTACTTGCTCATTTTTCAAATTGCTTGTGTGTGTTTGTCTTGAAAATGTTTTACTTCGTGATAACCCTTGTATCAGTCTTCAAGGATGTGACGAAGTTTGTTTTGAATATTGTTTTGAAAGGTGTTTGTGTGAAAAGTTTTTATTGAGCAAGTACTTAAGATTCTACCTACTCGAAAAAAGATTGTTTGTTCTCATTTCCTTTAGACAATGCTATCCTACTATTAAGGAGTAGGTAGCACCGTCGTTGGAGTTGTAAGGGGCATTCTAAAGGGACAAGTACAATCACTAAAGCAATAGTTAGGAAACTTTAGCAGTAACCCTAGAGTCTTAAGATCTTTCCGAGGAAACATTCCCGAGGCAACATTCGAATGAGACATTTTGATCTCTTAGACAGGAGGGTAACCACTAAAATATCCTATGCTTAATGATTGTTTACCGAAGAGGTAAACCCTAGGAGTGAATATGTGCATATGATTTGTTTCAGTTATTTAATCTTTGCATATTAGGTGATCTACCGTTTTAATTTCAGATATTCTTGCCATACAATCCTATTAACATACATCTAGACAGTTAAATATTTGCAGGAATTAAAAATGCGAAAAAATAAACCTAGCTATTACAAGGCTTCAGGGGATGGGGATTAATTACATAACCAAAGCATCCGGGATTAAAGTAGTAAATAAAACCCTAATTTAACTATTACAAACCATTGAGAGTTACAAAAATAATGGAAAAAAATAATTAAATGTGCGGCGAATTAAATACGAGGAGAAATTGAAAACCCTAAAATCTAATTGAA